TGGGTGCCAGTGGTCATTCTCAGAGGGACCTGTGGGTGGCAGAGGAGCTGGGGGTGAAGCAGGCGCCCCTGGGCCCGACAGGCTGGGGGCAGGGCTGCCGGGCAGCTGGCACCACACAGAGCCGCTGGGTGGGTGCCCCGCTGTCCCACCTGGGGGTTCCTGGCCACTGAACAAGCGCCCTGCCGTTTCCCTGTGCAGGGTCCCGGAGTTACCATCTTGACCATGAACAAAAGCAAGATGGGATGTTAGAACCCGTGCTTCCCTGCCAGCCGCCCAGACCCAGAGGGACGGGAGCCAGGTGAACGCAGTGGGTGGGGCACCAGGAGGTGGCAGGAGAGCAGGCCGATGGTCACGGGAGGCAAAGAGGTCCCCCTAAGGGGGTGCCCTGTCGGAGTGCTGGGCAGGTCAGCCCTAGGACGTTCACCTGGAAACGGGTGGCCATCCCCAGGAGCTGGGCTCGGGTGGGGAGGAGACCAGGCCGAAGGCAGGAAGGGACACGGGGACAACAGGGATGAACGCATGGGATAATCCAGGGTGATCCACGATGAGAATCGCCTCTCGAGAGACCCTTCACCCGACAACATCTGGGTGTGAGTCGGCGTGCTCCAGACAGCGAGGGGACAGGGCTTGCCCTCCGGCTGTCTAGTGCGTCTCCGCATCTGCCCATCGTGGGAACTGGCCCCTGCGGTGACGGCGGCAGCCTGTTACCCACCGGCTTCAGGCTGGAGAACAGGAAAGCGGGGCGGAGGAGTCGGGGCGGAGGAGGTCAGGACAGAGGGGGCGGGGTGAGGGGGTGGGGACGGATCAGGGGGCGGGGTGAGGGGGTGGGGACGGATCAGGGGGCGGGGCAGGGCAGAGGGGGCGGGGCAGAGGGTGGCAGGGCAGAGGGGGCAGGGCAGAGGGGGCGGGGCAGGGGCACAGGGGGGCTGCAAGACAATCTGAGTCCAGAGGCCTGAGATCCAGGAGCCGCAGTGTCCCAGGGCGATGTCACGGCTCAAGAAGAGAGTCCACCGTTTCTCCGCCCAATCACTCTGTCCTAGCCCTCAGTGGTTAGACGAGGCCCACCCACCTCAACTAGGACGGGTCAGGTCTTCTTTCCTCCTCCACCAACTCCAGTGCTCTTCCAGAAACACCCTCCCAGACACACCCACTAATCACGTGGTACCAGCTACTTGGCCACATTCGCAGGTCCTGGGGATTGGGACGTGGATGAAGGTTTTGGGGACGATGGTCCAGTCCAAGGCAGTGTTGCCCCCAAGAAGTAGGAAACGTGTGAGCGGCCAGTGCGATGCTGGCGGGGAAGGAGCGTCTCCTCCACCTGTGGTGAGCACTTACCCCTGCCCCACCCAGGGAGCCACCCCAGGGCCTGACGGTGAGGAATTTCCTGTGTAAGTGGACAGTCTCTGTGACACCCTCCCCCCACCCCGAGGACCCTGCAGGAGCACAGCCCCATGTGCAGCTTCACGGGGGTGGTTTATTCAGTAAGGGGAGCAGTGGGCACCTGCAGGAGGGCCCCTGCCCAAGGCCCAGCTCCCAGGGAATGTTCTCGGCCCCCCGCCCGGAGCCGGGCCTCATGCCCTCTGTTGGCTTCCAAGATACACCATCTCCCAGGGGACCCCGCGGGTGGGGGACGGCGCTGTCCACTCTTGTGCTGATGAAGAGCAACACTAGGAAGGGAACAGAAATCACCCAGAATCAGCTTTTTTGGGCCATTTTCCATTAATCAATGTTTTCCATCTCTGTTCCATTAAAGCAGATGAAAAAAAATATTCTGCTCTTTCAATTTAGCTTTCTTTTCTTTGAACAAATAGAAGTTGGCTGTGTCCTCAAAGACAGGCCACGGTGCCATACATAGCAGCCGACAACATCTTTTAAGATGCAGGCCACAGAGAAGGACATTGAGCCCCAGGCCACCCCCAAGCCTGGCTCCTCGATGGCCGACGGCGTCTCTTTCTTCTCCCTATGTCCTCACAGGGTCGTCTTGTGTGCATTTGTGTCCTGATCTCTTCTTCCGATGGGACCCTGGTCAGACTGGATTAGGGCCCCCCCTAGGAACCCTTTAATGGGATCCCCTCTTTATCCTAACTCCACATGCTAACTCTGAGGTTCTGGGGGTCAGGACTTTTTTAACAGGAGCGTGGGGGGATCGGGGTTCTCTAGAGGAGAACGTGCACGTGTGATTCAAAAGGGGAAGCGGTAGCCTGGCTGGCGGGGTCAGAGGCTGGACAGTCCACCATGGCCCTCTGCAGCCTGCTGAGCTGGAGGAACTAGTAGCCGCTCTGTCCAAGAAGCTGGAGGCTCAGAACGAGCTGGACCAACACTGCAGCCTGTCCAAGACTGAAGACTCGGAGGAGCCCGCGGAGCCTCCACGAGAGTCCACGCTGGAAGAGGGCAGGGGCCCGGGCCTCTCAGTCCATCAAGTGACTTCCATCACAGGGACACGGCTCACCTGCAGAGCCTCGGAGCAATAGGGGAAAGATCAGGATGTCAGAGCATCTGGGGCACCTCAGTTAAGGTCCCTAGGAACAAGCCAGTCTCCAAGGTGGAAGGAGAAAGCTCCAGAGGGGCCCTTCCGCCCCGCCCTGCAATTCCAGGAGCTGAGGGTCAAGTGACCTGGATCCCACCGGGAGCCGTGAGTCCCCTGCTGACCTGGGAGGGTCCCTAGGTGCACACTTTCTGCCTGAGGAGCTGGACGGTGTCCCCCATGAGAGCCATCTGTGCCCTCACTGGGACTTGGGGGTAGGAGGGAAGGGCGGGTGAGATTTTAGTGGAGACATGGAAATCGAGGCTGAGTAGAGCGCACCGTTCCTAAACACAGAAGGCTTGGTTTTAAGCCGTACTCACAAGGAACAACACAACCCCGCACACAGGGAGGTGGCCCCACGTGGCTTCCAAGCTACGGCAGGTTTGGAATGAAGGACAGCTGTGACCCATCACCCCACTTTAGTAAACAGGGGGTGTTCTTCCACCTTGTGTTGATAGTTCCCTGTGACATCCTGATTTTCCTGGCTATCGATCGTCCTTCGACGGTCCCCACCGTCACCTGTGGGCGGTATACTGGGTTGGTGATTGCTCGGAGGCTAGATTCAGCCAGTTCCCACAGCGCCTCACCCCAGGATCCTGCCTGCAGTGGGCGTCCTGGGCAGGGGGAGGAGCGCCGAGGCCCTGTGCTGATTTAAGACCCGCTTCCTCCCCAGGGCCTGGGCTTTGATCCGGGCGGGCGTTGGTGGAATGTGCACATGCTACCAGGGATCACACGTTCAAGGGAGCTGGTGGCCAGCCAAGCCCCAAGCCTGGCCTGCCAAGGTCCAGGGCTACTCGCTGCAGAGATGAGCCCCAGGTGATTCTTGGTGTGTGTGGGGGGTCTGATTGCGAAGCTGGCTCCAGAGACGTGTGTTCAGCTCCATGATCACCTGGGGAAAAGTACACGAGCCTAGTCCAAAAGGACCCCGGTCCAATTTGTCCAGCAACAGTCAATCCCAAGAGTTTTAAGGTACAAACTTAGGAAAAGGAGGTGCCACCCTCTTCTGGTGAAATGAAACCTGAGCCGTAGGAACCCATTAGCCATCGGAGGGTGAGTACCTGCCTGAGCATCAAGTCCAGAGGGAGATCGGAGCTTCAGGAAAGAAATATTCCTGATAGCACTGTCTGATCACCTGGATCCACCCATGCCTGAAGCCATGTTTGAAGATTTTAGTTACTAGAACCAGTGAGTTCCTCGTCCCTTTTATCCAGTTTGACTTCATTATCCTTTGCTTGCGCCCAGAGCATCTACACTTGCAGTTCCCCAAATGACAATAACCTGTGGATGTTTGGGTCATGACCAAGCCTGTCTGACTTAAAGAAAAAATAAAAAGACGACATTCATCAGAAGCACGTTGGGGAGGGGCTGTTCTGCTGGTGCCTGGAACCCTCTGGAGAGAGATTCTGCAGGTCAGAAGTGGCCAGGACGCCTCTGGCAGGCATTTGTGCTCTTGGGTTCCAGAGGCGGAAGCCTGAGGTGAGGGTGGGCCGGGGGAGAACTTCCTGTTCCCTCTTTCTGCAAGGACAGATGCGTGGTCTCTGGGGGCGAGGCCTTTCTCTCCCTAAGTGCTCAGACAGGTTTGTTGAAGGAATAACAAACCCACCAGGCTGAGAATCCAATGGGGCTTCGTCGCCATCCTGCAGTGCACTACCCTTGCGCTCAGCCAGGCCCCCACAGACGTTCAGTTCAGGGATTAAAGAAGAGCACGTGAGGGTTGTTTAATGTTCCTCCAAATCAGCCTCCGGGCTAGAAAACAACAACAACAACCAAACAACAAAGGCCCAGATCTCAAAACAAGAGACTAGAGGTTGACTTGTCTGCTGTCGGCTTCCGCACCCAGTGCTGTTGGAAGCAGCCTGGCCTCCACAGCCTCCTCCTCCGTGGGCATCTATTGCAGCAGCCCCACTGCACAGCTGTCCTTGGCTGACCCATGGGTCCTGCTGATCATTGAATTGCGTTCCTCCACTTTCCACCCAGGGACAAAGTTGGTGGACCCAAGGCTTCTTGATCAACAGGCAGGGGCAGCCAGGTACAGTGGTGCACACCTGTCATCCCAGTGGCTCTGGAGGCTGAGGCAGGAGGATTGCAGGTTCAAGGCCAGCCTCAGCAACTTAGGGAGACCCTGTCTCAAAATTTAAAAAAAAATACAAATAGTTGGAATAGCTGGGGTGAGGCTCAGTGGTTAAGCACCCGGGATTCAATCTTGGTACAAAAAAAAAATTAGGTACGACAGTGAATATTTATTTAGGACATGACAAGAAACCCCAACAAATGACCAGTTTTTAAAACCTGACGAATGTCACAAATAATGCAACACACAGGAAATCATCTGTGGCCTGACGGGGGTGGTGACAGTTGCCGAGCACAAGGCCCTGGGTTCCCTCCCCAGGATGGAAAGAAAAGAAAAGAAATGACCTATGATTTTTTTCTTCCATTTTAGCTTCATACTTTTGAAAGCCTTCCCATGTGTCAACAGTTTTGATCATTTTTCACAGAGAGAACTGAATTGTACTTTAATTTAAAAATCTGTTTTAGTTGTGGATGGACACAGTGCCTCTATTTATTCATCTGTTTCATGTGGCGCTGAGACGGAACCCGAGGCCTCACATGTGCTGGGCAGGGCTCTCCCGCTGAGCCCCGGCCCTCGCCCTGGTAATTCGATTTTCAGAAGCATGGTTGGTCAAAATTTGTTTTGTGCTTTTAAAAATGTTTCGTGCCTTCCCGAGTTTCATTTCTGGTGATGTCCTAGACATCGTGGGACTGTCTCAGATTAGGGGAAACCTGTATCGAGCTTTTTGCTTTTTCCCAGATGGGGCAGTGGGGTGGTTGGATTCTCCTGGACGGTGACTGGTCCCAAGCCGTCTTTGGCCTGTGCCACCCCGTGGCCGGCTGTCTGCGGACGCCTGGCTGCCGCAGAGGGTTAGGGCTTCAGGTAGTCTTCAACCTAAGGTTCCCCGTCTGTTCGCGGGAGGACTCCTCGGCTAATGGTGCCACTGACCCCCAAGGGTCTGCGGACCTACTCTGCAGGTGGACTCTGGCCTTACGAATGGATTGCTTTGGGTTCCCATCTGCTCTCCATCTCAAAGAGGAACCTCTTTAGATTTCGAGATTCGTCTTCTCCCTCTGCACTTCCTCTTGGTCCCTTAATAACCAAACACACCGGAACAGGAGGAAAGGGGCCCCCAGGATGCCCAGGGAAGGGCAGACCTGCCCCTGGCGAGGCGCCGATGCCCGGGTTAGGTTCCTGCCCAGACCTGCCCCTCCGTTCAGCTTGAAGGACAGACAGACCTCCAAGATGGCCATCCAGGGACTCACAGCAGGAAGTGGGGGGCCGTGGGTGCTGCATGTGGTGGAGACGTGGCATCAGACACCCTGGGTGGGGGCTCTCAGGTACACTGGTCCCCTGGTCTGGGGTCCTCCCTGTCCAGGGTGTCCTGGTCCTTCAGGCCTGGGCAGCCCCTGCCTCCTCCGGGGAGTCCCCAGCCTTTCCCACTCCCTCCCAGGGCTCTCTAGTCCCTTGTGGCAACTGTGGCCCTTGCTGCTCTCCGCACTCTGAGGGGGACCAACCCGGCAAGGGAGAGCCCCGGTCTCCTGCTGCCCTAAGGTACAAAGTCTTTTCCCTTGGCCTCTTCTCTCCCGGTTATGTGAGTGTCCCCGGCCCCAACTCCCCCCTGAGGCCACCGCGTGCCACCCTGGCCGTGGGTGGAGAAGGCTTGTCCTGACAACCACAGGGGGTTCCGGGGAGGAGTTCCCGGGCAGGACAGCTGGGCGAGCTGGCAGGGGGGGCTTGGCTTGGGGTGGAAGTAGGTGGCTTTGGGACTGTTGGTCTGGCTCAGGCCAGCGCAGGGAGCACCCTGCACAGACCACAGTCGGGGGCAGAGAAACCAAGCTGCTTCGTCCTTCTTATTCTGCTTGTTTTATTTTGTTCTTAGCTGTCACATCATACCTGCACAGGTTTCTGGGTGCCTCTTGGCGTGTGATACACGTGTACTGACCAGGTCAAGGTAAGGGGCAGTCCCATCACCTAAACATCTATTCTTCCCGCTGAGACCTTTAGAATCCTCTCTTCCTGCTCTTTGTAAACAGACAACCCACTATTGTCTCCCAGCCGCCCTGCTGTGCATGCAACTCCAGGACTTGCCCAACCAGCAACTGGAACTTTGTACCCACTGACCACACAATCCCGCCTCCCCGGCCTCCCCGCCTCCCCGCCTCCCCGCCTCCCCGCCTCCCCGGCCTCCCCGCCTCAGCCCTCACCCCACTCTCAGCTCCTATGAGCCTGACTTCTTTAGATCCCCCAGTAAGTAGGAACACGTGGTATGAGCGTCCCTGGGTCTGACAAAGCTCATCCTCGGCTTTCATTCACTGTTGGGGCTGAATGCTGCTCTGTTGTGCTCTCCACGTCCTTCATCCAGCCATCTGCGATGGGCACCTGGGTGGACTCCATACCCGGCCACTGTGCGCGTGCTGTCCACCTGGGCTGCAGCCCTCTGCCTGACGGGTGGCTTTCCTTCCCTTTGGATGGCTCCCCGGTGGTGGGATTGCTGCACCCCATGAGGCTGCTCTGGTCTCGAGGTACCTCCATGACATTTTGCACGGTGGCTGTGCTGACTGACGTGGCCAGCACCTGTCATCTTTTGTCATTTGGGTAACAGCCATTCTAGGGTGAGTTAGCTCATGAAGCCCCCAAGGGGACTTTTGGCAGTCTCCATGTGACCTGGAAGTGACCAGGTCCCCCACCCTTTCCCCAAGAGCTGCTGTCAGTTCTGGCCTCCTACTGACGGACACTGTCTCCGTGGTCTCGGTGGTCATCTTCTCCCCAGCATCCATTGCCTGGCCCCTGTCCTGGGCCTCACGGCCTCTGGAGGAAAGCAAACAGGGGGCCAGGGGCACTGGGGAAAGGCAGCCAGCCCCACGGCTCAGGTCAGGGGCCCACTGGGGGAAGAGGTAGTCTCAGGACCCTCCTCCAGTGAGATGTGGGTCGGCGATGGCCATTCAGTGGACTGCAGACGCATTCAGTGACCGGTCAGTGCCCCCAGTACAGCCACGAGGCACTGCCCACTATGTACACAAAGATGCCGGCTCAGGGAGGGGCGGCTGGAGGGATGGACTTTCACATCCCACGGGATGCCTGTGACCGCCTGAGAGACGCCTCCGTAACAGCTCTAACCAGGACGGCGCTCACGCCGACCCGCCAACCTGTGATCCGCTGTGGACAGGAAGTCACGCCTCCCCACGCCCTGAGGCCCGGGACCCAGTGTGCGCGTGGGGGGGGGGCTTTAGCAGGTGGGAACGTGACCCCAACACGGTGGGCTGCAAAGCTTCGGGGCCCCTGCAGCAGGCCAGCCAGGGTGCGAGGAGGGGTTGGAGGGGGCTCTGGGACGGTCGCCCGGGCGTGGGCCACCTCAGAGCCCCTCGCTGGGTCCCGTGGACGGCGTCTCCCTTCCCTCGGGCTCAGGCTCCTCTTGCAGCGCCCGGCCCAGCACGACCTTCAGGGACTCTGCCAGCCTCCGGGTCCTCTGGCTGCCCACCAGGAAGTAGATGACGGGGTTGGCACTGCTGCTGATGGCCGAGGACAGGCGCGACAAGCAGATGTACAGGAGCTTCGCCTCCCAGGGCAGGGGCAGCCAGAACAGCACAAACCAGTAGATGCCCAGCGGCAGGGAGCCGACGAGGAACACCAAGATGGAGGCCAGGATGACCACCAGCAGCCGCCGGGGCCGCCGCCGCCACAGCAGAGCGCTTTTCCGCACCCGGACATAGAGGGTGATGCCGGACACAGTCATCACAGGCGTGAAGACCCCCATGATGAGGGTGCCCATGGCCGTGTCCACCATGAAGCACCGGCCTTCGTCGTGCCGCCAGAACCTGAGGCAGAAGAGAGTGGTCAGGGTGTTCATGAGGAGGGCCAGCGCCCAGAGCAGGGAGCACACCACGGTGGACAGGTGCCTGGGGCGGCGGCACTTGTACCAGAGGGGGAAGAGGACGGACAGGCAGCGCTGGACGCTGATGGCCGTGAGCAGGCTCAGGCTGGCCGTGTAGGCGAAGTACATCACCCGTGTCACCACCTCGTGGACCTTGGTGTGGGAGTCGGCCAGGGACGGGGTCTCCAGGGTCAGCATGGAGGCCATGCACAGGAGGAAGAGGAGGTCGGCCACAGCCAGGTTGAGCATGTAGATGCAGAAGGGGGTCCTCTGTACGCCGACAGTCAGCAGCCAGACCACGGCGCTGTTGCCTGCCGCCCCGCACACGCTGGTGAACATGGCCAGGGAACTGGCCGCGAGGTAGACCACGTGCAGCGCGTCGACCTTGGAACCGCTCAGAGCCTGCTCCGGGTTCTGGCTGCTGTTCAGGGTCTGGTTCATGCCTGGAGAGGAAAGCGGACCAGCGTGAAATTCTGTGTTGCTTGGACCTTGGGGACTTCTGGGAGCCTCTTCCCCCCAAATTTCTGATTCAGGGCTCTCATCGCAGGCTCCTTTGGCACTGCCCGTGACCGTCACCCGGGGGCTCGTGCTCAGCCTGACCAGCCATCGGCTCTGCCGTGATGGACACCGACTTGCTCTGGGTGCCCTGCTCGGTTGGGGCCCCTTCTATTCTGAGTTCAGTTATTTTCCCGTCATGAAGGGGCCTTGACTTTACCAACTGCCTTTTCTTTTTAATTGTTTGTAGATCAGGTGGACGGAACGTCTTTATTTCCACATGTTTATTTCTGACGCGGTGCTAAGGACGGCGCCCTGAGCCTCACACGCCGGGCCAGCGACGGAGCTACAGCCACAGCGCTACCAACTGCTTTTCCTGCCCCTCTTGAGATCGTCTGTTTGTCTGCTATAATCTTTGAATCCTGCAATTAATGTTTTGAAAATCAGACCTCAGGGGCAAAGAGTAGAATTGATTCCACCCACGGATTTGAGGTGCGCCGTGCCCGGCAGTCCATTTATGATGCCTGTCTCTATCCCACTCTCCTCCCGACTCACACCTACCTGCTCTACTCCACTTAACAGAGTCTTGGACAGTCACGTATCTTTCGGAATAGGGTGGGTGCCCATCAATGTCTTATTTTTTTAATTTTTGGGGGGTTGTGGGTGGACGGTATGCATTTATTTATTTATTTATTTATTTGTGGGGCTAAGGATCAAACCCAGGGCCTCTCACGTGCTAGGCAAGCGCTCTGCTGCTGAGCCATAAACCCCCAGCCCCCACCAATGTTTTAAATGTAAATAATGTTGATTTAGAATTTACATTTTTTTTCCCCATTCAACAATGTTTTTAGGATAGATCTGGGTGGCTGTACCATCATGGCAATGTTTCATGACATTCGCTGACCCCATTTTACTTACTGTGAATCCTCAGGTGGCTCCACAATTCCCGTTATGAGAACACTGCGCGGAGCATCCTCATGCGTGGACTGTTGGACCAGACTCGGAACTTTCCCGGGATACGAACGTTCCAGAGCGGGACGGCTGGGTCGTAGGACGTAGGAGCATTTAACTCACTTACTCTGGTAGTTCCTCTGAATGGCTGCTCCATGTGTCACCGCCATCAGCAGGGCAGGAAGGCTCCCGCCTCCCCGCGCCCACCCACGCGTGGTTTATGCGCATCTCTCTGTTTTGCCAATGTGATGGTTACACAAGGATATCTCTAGGCTCTAACTTGCACTTCTCTGGTTACAGTAAACGTGAACATCGTCCGTACATTTGGTAGCATTTTGGGTTCTCCTTCTTTGAAATGCCTGTTCATATCTGCTGCCTCTCTCTCTCTCTCTCTCTCTCTCTCTCTCTCTCTCTCTCTCTCTAACTGGGTTTCCCTCATTTTCCTTCCTGATTTGCAGCAGGTGTCTGTCATTTGTATTTCGACATGTTCAACCCTCCCTGGGTTTAGACATTGTAGGTGTTTTTCTCTGAAAACTCTCTTTACTGCGGCAGTTCCTTTTTCCTGGCTGGCTCGCCAAAAATATATAACCATAGAAATAGAAATAGTCACAGGTAATTGCAAATACTCATCTTCACCTGTAGTGAAATTTGGTGGACAGAGAGACTTGTTTTTGGGGAGCTGGCTCCCGAACATTTTCCACCCTTGAATCTTACACCTTTGGATCCTAAGTCATCCCATATCCCTGGGTGAAAAAGATTTTCCCTTATTTTTTCATCTACTACTTTTATAGTGTTTCCCTTTCTGATTTTAGCTGGGATCCATCTGGAATCTATTCCGCCCCCCCCCCCATGGGATGAAATAGGAGACAACTTGGGTTTTCCTCCATATATGGACCAGGCTCGTTGACGCCCTTCCCAGAGAGCCTACCCTTTCTCTAAAGCCTTGTAAAGTTCCCTGTTCACACAGCTCTGCTTCTAACCCCTGCACCCTGTTTGCCTCTCTGTTCCCCAACAGCAACTCACTGTTGCTCAGCGTGGCTCCGCGGTGCGTCATCTCATTTTCTGGGATGAATCTTCCCTCTTTTCCTTTCTTTTTCAAAATTGAAGGGCCCATTTGTGAATCTTTATTTTTCTTATACACTCTAGAGTAAATCTCAAGAATTCCTACTAAGTTTCCAGTAGAAGTTCACAGCAGCTATAGATTACGACAAAAAAAGATTCCTCACTTCATAATGCCACGTCATTGTGTCCATGGCATGAAATGTCTCTCTGGCCTTGGATCTTTCCTACATCCGTTCTCGTATAGTTAATGACTTTGGAATTTTCTCCACAAAAGTTTTGCACATTTTTGTTGTGTTAATTTCTAGATATTGCCTGAGTGTTTTTTTTTTTAAATTTTTTTAGTATGTATATTTTTTAGTTGTAGTTGGACACAATGCCTTTATTTCATTTGTTTATTTGTATGTGGTGCTGAGGATCGAACCCAGGCCCCCCACATGTCAGGTGAGTGCTCTACCACTGAGCCACAACCCCAGCCCTGTTTGAATGTTTTTTCCTGATATTATAATTATGATGTTATATTACATATAGAGTTTTTTTTTTTTTACTTATTTATAGTTTTTATTGGACTTCTGATGCATAGAAGTGATACGTATTGCTTTGTGAGATTCTCCCTACATCGATCCATAACTGATTTCTTTGTGGTCCTGGGGATTGAACACAGGGGTGTTCTATCACTGGGTTACAACTCCTTTTATTTTGAGACACGATGACATCCCAGTTCTTTTATTCTGAGACAGGGTTTCACTAAGTTGCCAGGGCTGGCCTTGAACTTGGGATCCTCCTGCCTTAGCCTCCTGAATAGCTGGACTGCAGGTGTGCCCCACCGGGCCTGTCTGAAACTGCACAATCACTGGTTGAACCGAATTGGCTGCGTGGAGAAGAGGTTCATGAGATCAAGAGTGGAGACCCGGAGGCCAGAGGGTGCTGATGCTGGTGTCAGACCCGGGCAGTGGCAGCAGGGGTCATGCGGCCGACCTTGTGTAGTCTGTGAGGCTCCTATCGTGGGCACTGGGTGGGTCCTACCTGACCCTGCACTCGACTGTCCACTCTCTGGCTCACTCCTTCCGAGCACCCTGGTGAGTTGTTCCTGTTGTCCAGGCCCTTTCCCTGGGTAAACTGGACACCAGCGATACGCAGGGGCTCCGGGTTCCTCACTGCTGTGGTGATACCCTCACTGTTTCGACTGTGGCTGTCAGTGGGGTCTATGTAAAGTGGATGCGGTGTGGTCTTGGTTGGCCTTTCCCTTCTATGTTGATGATGTTGGAATCCCTTTCGTGCACTTATGGCCATGTGTATGTCTTTGGAAGAAGATCTGTTCAGACGTCCTTTCTGTTAAGGGCGGTTGTTCTGTCACTGAGTTGTGGAGTTCTCTGTAGACCGTGAACTAAGCCCTGTGAGATGGGACGCAGATAGCTTTCTCCTGTTCTCTGGGTTGGCCTCCTGCTCTCCTGCTGCATCCTTGTCTGATGCATGTGATTTTTTATTCTGTTGCTTATATCTCTGGTACCATGCCTAAGAATCCATTGCCAAATCCAAGGTCATGGATATCAACCTTATTTTTTCTCCTAATAATTTTATGAGTTTAGCTCTTTTATCTAGGTTGTTGACCCACTTTGAGTTAATTTCTATATGTGGTGTGTCACCTCCCCTTACCGTTCCTTCCCTGTCTCCTTTCTGTTTACAGGACTGGGGATTGAACCCAGGGGAACTCAACCACTGAGCTACATTCCTAGCCCTTTTCGTTTTTTATATATTTTTTTTAATTTTTAATTTTAGATTTTGGTCCTGGGGATTGAACCCAGAGGCACTTAGTCACTGAGGTACATCCCTGACACTTTTTTTTTTTTAATTTTGAGGCAGGGTTTTATTAATTTGCTTATGGACTTGCTAAATTGCTGAGGCTGGCCTTGAACTTGCAATCCTCCTGTCTCGGCCTCCTGAGTTGCTGGGATTACAGGGGTGTGCCCCCAGGCCTGGCTGTTATTTTTTGTTTTGTTTTGCTAATTTGCCTAGGCTGACCTCAAACTCACAACCCTCCCGTCTCCTGTTAGTCCCTGGTCTTTTGACTTGCACAGTTTCTGAAAGGAGTCCTGTAGCCCTTCTCACCTTCATTCTCCATCTCTGGCAGTTTCTAAGCCTTCCTTTGTCACTGTTCCCAGCACAGAGACAGGCTGTGCCTTGGTGTGGTTTCCTCGGGATCATAGGTTCTCCAAGCTTCTTGGATCTGGGGGTTTGGATTGTTTGTCTGGTTGTTCCACATACTATATGTTCAGCTATGGAAGCTGCATCGGTTCTGAGTTGTATCTTGTTTTCTCCTTATTGTGTTCATATTTTCCTTTAAGTCTTTGGGCATTTTTATGCTAACTGTTCCTCACCTGCTAATCTCCTCTTGTGTCTTTTCTTGGTCTCTTTGCGTTTGCTAATGTTATACTCTCGGCTCTCATTCCATTTTCCTGCTTATCACGTGTCTAGGATCCTTGACGAGATGCTGGACGTTGTTTTACATTATTGAATGTTTGGAATTGTTTTTTGCTTCCTGGAAGAGTGGTAGGCTTTCTTCTGGTGAGTATTTGATTTGCTTGAAGATAAATGTGATCCTTTTGAGACCTGATTAAAGGAGCTGTCCGAGTGGTTTCTCTGGGATTCTTGCCGAGTGCCCCAGATATCGGATGGATCGCTCTCCTCTGGCTTCTCAGAACTTGAACCTCTCCTGGCCCTGGGTGGGCTCTGGGACTTGTTCGGAAGACAGTTAATCAGTGGTTGCTTCTTGTCCACTTTCATATCACTTTGCCCTGTACACAGCTTAGTTCTCAGGCCAAGGCTGCAGGGGCCCCCGGGTAGAAGATCGGAGCTTCTCCTCTGGGTAGCCCTGACCCTCCCTCTGGGGCTCACGCAGTCCGACGGCCCCGTCTTCCCTAGGGATGATCTGAATCTCCAGCTCATGCTTTGCCTGGCCTCTCCCATGTCCTGTGCCAGATCCAGAAAATACCTCCAGGCAGAAAGCCAGGGTCATCTGGGACTGGCTTCTCACGTTTGCCTTCTCTCGAGGTCACTGTCCTCCTCTTTCATGTGCTAAATACGTATCGATAGGTTTCCTGACATTTACTTACCCTTCCATTTCCAGGATAAGCTACCATCATTTCCTGGATTTTTTCCTAGCTTGCTCTGATTTTATTTAGAGCACTTTCATCCATGTTCAAAAGTGACACTGGCCCACAACTTTCCCTCCTGGTACTGTCCCTGTCTAACATCAAAGTCGTGAGGTTACACTGCTTCCTAGTGAGTCAGCGAGATCACCCTGTTCCTCTACCCTCCACGACAATTGGTGTCCTGTGAGGACCATCTTCCTCTGAAGGTTGGCCAGAAGGTAAAACCATCTGTCCGGTGATTTTTATGGGAGTGGAAGTTCATATGCTTCGAAGCACAACTAAAATCCAACGTGTTTAAGGTTTTAGACTTTTAACCCCTGAGTCAGTGTCGATATTGTCTCCTGTATCGTTTTTTTGCTTCTGGATTCACACTTGTCACTGTGACTCGATTCAGTACCTGTCGCTGCCCCTCCTCTTCCTCCCCTCCCCATTCTTCTTCCTCTTTTTCCTGTTTTTTCAGATGCTCTTTTTTTTTTTTTTTTTTCAGGAGCTGGTTTATTTTCTTTTAATCAGGTCTGGGGTTTCTTTACTGCCCATTTCCTTAATTTGTACTTTCATTTCTACCATATTTGGGCTTTCCCTGGGGTAGGTTCTTTTTCTTGGATTGAATGCTTAGGTAATTTTTCAAACTTAAAAAAAAAAAATGGGGAACTGGAGATTGAACCTAGAGGTGCTTAACCACTGAGCCCCTTCCCAGCCCTTTTCACTTTTTATTTTGAGACAGGGCCTTGCTGAGTTGCAGAGTCTGGCCTTGAACTTGCGGTTCTCCTGCCTCAGTCTCCTGAGTGCTGGGTTATAGGCGTGCACCACTGCAGCCGATCAGGCTCTCTCTCTTTTCGTAGCAGGTATTTAGGGTCACACACACTAAGTGTTTCTGTAGGTGCTTCATGAGTTCTGATGTGCAGGGCTTTTGTTGTTCCTCACAGGTAAATCTTTTAAAATGTCAGATGCCAGATTAAGAGGTGCGTGGGCAGTCCTCTGCGAGGGGAGAGCATCGTCCCCTCGGAGCAGAGAAGAGGGGACACACACCATTGTGCCCCAGGCTTCATGTACAATGGCTGCTCCCAGGCCATCGCCCCCCACCTGCTGCAGGCGCCTGGATGGGACAGA